CACCAGTCTCCAGGGTACATGCTTGCTCTCATTCTGTGTGAATCATGTCTCAACCACAGACACACGAAAACAATGAGTCATCCCCCACCTATTTCCCCCAGTTCATCCTCAAGATTTTCTCATTCAAAATATTTTAGCTTAGAAAATATTCAGAATCAACAAACAAGTCAGATAGGAGCTCTTCGTTGAAAGTTGTTACTGTTTATAGTAAACAGTTTCATTAGAGTGGAGGCTGAAAAAATTGTATCTGTTGTTTGTAGATTGAGATATGACTGGATCCTTAGGCTTTACGGACACTAATTATTATTGTCTGGGAAAAGTCAGATTATCAACTTCTTTATCTCACTCACTGTCAAAGAACACACAGTTGTTCTTTGATGACAGGAAATGGTAAATGCCCTATTTCTTTCCAAACATTGACATTACAGAGAATATGTGTTATGTGTCTTCGGTCTTTTCTTTCCTAGGAGAATTTGACATTTTTAAATTCTAAAGGTGGGTTCCTTTCCTTGTTATAAACAGTTTTTAATCCATTAGATTGAGGATTTAATCAAATGAACCTACTTTAATTATATGTATTGATTCAGATTCTCTTTTTATCATGATGGGATCAAATTGTGGATAAAATTCACCCCCTTTCAATCAGAGTGGAGACTATCTGCATTCTCAAAGTGGGAGATCCTGATATGACTGATGCTGTGTATAAAGTCTACCGCTTGATGTTGGAGGTCCCTGCATCCCATAGTTACCTTTTGAATGGACAGCCTTCCATCGTATTGTGATGTCAGAACCCCAAAACTATGATTTTCACCTTCAATTCTAATTCAAAATGTTTTATCATCCTCAATTATGTCATTTCAAACCTTCCTGAAGAACTGAATTTGAAATGTTGTTGGATGGTTGGCTACACTTTGTACAGAAAGGAAGTCTACTGTGTAACCAATGCAAATGCTTCAGAATTGCATTTGTTTGCAAACTACGAGAAAATAACACATGGTATACTTATGATATAGTTAAGTCTTCGAGGGTGTTATTATGACAGTGTTCCTTGTAGAAAAGGACAGACAGCTCCAGAGCTCACTGCTGTGGGTCCCTGGATGGGCTTGGCACTCAAGAGACTTGTTTGCCTTGATGGCAGCAGGAACTGCAGCCTTGGGCACCTGCTACAACAGTGACTGCTGGGTTGGCAGCCGCAAGTGGGTCCTGTCTGTCACCTGTCCTCGTGTTGGTAGCGTGCTGGCTGTTTTCCACTGGCAAATGCCGTTTTTCTGTCATCACCTTTGGAAATTGTGGCTCTGTCCTTTTCCAGTTACAGACTCATTACGTTAATCTCAAAAAGAGCACTTACTTTCAAATATTGATACTTATTTAGCTGCCAGTGTGTTGAGAAAGCATACGTGAATATATTCTGGAATCTACAACCTGTCAAAATTGAGACCTATGTAAAAGATATTTCGAGGCTTTTAAACATCACATGATATTGGTCAAATTACAGAAATATTTATTTCTGTGACATTTGAGTTTTTCAAGGGAAAAAAAACCGCTTTTCCCCAAGATGAAAATTAACAGACATTTGTTGTTGCTGGCATTGTGAGGAGAGCACAGTGGCACTTCATGGGTGGGAAGGTATTATTCGGAGGAAGCAGTGAAGAAAGAGAGGCAATAATGGGAGAAGTGGGGAAGAAGAAACCAAGCCTGAGGTCCCCCGAGCGTGGGGTTCTTAATGCAGTGAAAGCCTCAGTTCTTTTTTAGAGTTTTATCCATACCGATGGGTCGTCTCTAAACTTGACAACATAAGAGAGGATGAAAAATGAAATTGGACAAGATTACAAATAATGTTACATAATATGTTTCTGAAGGCTGCCTCACACAGTCAGGATCCTTTTGTACATTGTGATTTCCCTAGGTCCTTCATTTGTTTCCTTTGGAGATACTCCTTCTCAGATAGGTGTTAAGCACTGTCCTGGCCATCAACTTCAAATACCCTGCTGTGATTCAAGATAACAGCCTCTTCTGAAGTCAGCCTCAGAAGAAACAGCCGAGGACCACCAGCAAATGTGCATTTGTTCTACAGATTAATAACCAAGTCCTACAATTAAGGCTCTAATTGTAGAAAGCTGATGAGAGAGTTGAATAATTAAAAGACAGATTATAAATTACTAGGATGAACAATAATGATGTAGTTGGATTTTTTTTTTTATAATTTCAAACCATTGCCATATAACAAAAGTTTTAAAAGGAACTACAAGGTCAAATTCATAAGTATATTTACATGTCGTTACATGTGAAATCTAAAGATTGCCTTTAGTCTTAAATGTTTCTAATTACATGAGACAGTAAAGGAATCAGGGCTAGGGAGATGGCCCAGAAGTAGAGTATACACTGCTCCTAGAAATGAATGACAGGTAGTAAATGTGGGTTCCTCCTATGTGCCAGGCCTTGTGTCCAGTAGGGATGCACCGAGAGGAGAAATGTCCTGTTCCTTGTGGAGCAGGAGGTTGGCAGCCTACTCTCCCTTCATCTCCCCAACTCTCCCCCAAAGCACAGGTGACCTGTGCCTTCAGGATCAGTAGAAACCGTAGCAGGCTTTTAAGTGTAGAGAGCAGTGCTGGGGAGGCCTGAGAGAGGGTTGGGGACTGAGAAGGGACAGAGGAGTTGACTCTTTTTGAAGCTCTGGAGAGAAGGAGTCTAGACTCAGTGCACCTGACAGCACTGTCTACAGCCAAGGGGGTCGAGCTGCGAGGCTGCAGGAGTGTTGGTCCTGGAGAACACCCCTTCTGTGCTGCTGATGTCATACAAAGAAAGAGCAGTCCACCTTGAGTGATGCCGGGAAGGAAGAAGGAAGGACGGGGCTAAGAAGGATCATGTGGGATGGAAAAGGACCCCTCACCTCTCAGCTACCGACACACCGATATAAAGGGGGGTGAAAGTGTCAGGAGAGAGGACTCTCAAACTAGGACTCCAGTCCACTAAATAAGCGAGGAAAGGACAAAGGAGTGTGCATCTACAAAACATGAGAAAATAAGAATCTGCACTTCAGCTAATCATACGAACCAGAAACCCACCGTGAAACTAGAGAAAAACATAGAATACTGTGATATGAATTAATTTTTTTTTCTTCAGCCCTTTGGACATATGAAACAATCAAACAGAAAGCCTCATTGGGTTGAAAATACCAAAGCACAGCAGAAAATATGTAAAAAGAAAAGAGAAAAAGAAATAAAGTGAGTGTTAATTGAACTCTTGAGAAATATAGGCGATAAAAAAAACCAAAATAAATGAAAGCTAAATCGCAAGGTGTCCAGGGGAAATTAAAACGGTAGGCAACTGCACATTTAATACCTATAATAAATGTAAGTGGCCTATTCCCATCAAGTAAAAACAAGACATTGGCAGGACGGGATTTTAAAACATATGGTCCAGTTATATGCTGTTTGTAAAACTTCACCTCATTATGGTAGTATTGGTAAGATAGACGAAAAAGGACCATAAAAGTTCCACTGTGTAAACAATCACTTTCAAACTGGATGAGCCATACAAGGTTAACAGCAGAGCAGTAAATACTTCCAATAACAAAGCAATATACAGCCATAAAAGGGTTTAATTCACAAAAATCAAAGCATGATAAAGGTGTGTGCAATGAACATCAGCACTTCAAGGGCTTAGGGAAGCCGGGCTGCCGAGATGTTGCATTAGACAAAAGGCATATGCCCTCAAGCCTGGCGTTATGAGCTCAGCACCTGGGAGCCATGCGGTGGAAAGAACTGCCTCCTGCAGGAAGGCACCCCACCTACACATAAACGCTCGTGTACTTGTGCATACACCCTGGTTTGTTGTCCATTGCTGGGATGAACACTATGCCCAGAAGCACATTCTGTGGGAAGGGCTTTCTTCCATCTTATGGGTATAGGTCCATAACAGATGGAAGTCAGAGGAGAAACTCCAGCAAGGCAGGAACTTGAAGAAGTCACCATGGAGAAATGCTGCTTACTGGCTTGTCCCTGGCATCTGCTCGCCCAGCTTTCTTAATGAGCCCAGCAACACCCGTGTAGGAATGGCACCACTGGCAGGGGGCTGGGCCCTCCTCTGTCGGTTAGCAATTAGGAAAATGCTCCACAGACATGCCCACAGTCCAGTTTGACTGAAGCGACCCCCTAACTGAGATCCCTCAGATAACTGTGGGCTATGTCAGGTTGACAGCTGAGGCTAATTAGAACATAAACACACAAAGTAAATAGGTGTAAAAAAAATATAAGAAGCAAAAGGAAAAGAACACCTAGAGATCCCAAAAGATACTTTGATTTCGCCACCATTGTAGTTAGGGACATTAACATTACACTCTCAGTAATTGTTAGAACTATTATTCTATTCAGAAAGTCAATAAGGATTTAGAAAAACTCAATTATATTGTGAAGCAATATGGTTTAGTTGATATTTACAGGACTTCCTATCCAGTACTAGTAGACTACGTGGAACATATGTTATGGTAAACCATGTTGATAGTAAATAATCCTCATTTAAAACAAACTTCAAGCATGTAAAAGAATTGAGGACTGGTGAGAAGGCTCAGTGGGCAGAAGCACTTGCTGCCAGGTCTGATGGCTGAATTCTGTCCCACAACCTACTTGGTAGAAGGAGAGAGCCAACTCCTGCAGATTGTCCTTGGACCTCCACACTTGTACTCTACACATACATGCACTCACATACACAAATACATTGTAATTCTTTTCATTGGAAAGAATCGACACCACAGTAGGCATGTACTCTGCACTCGGTGGAACCTATCCAGAGACTACTAATGATGGACAGTTGAAGTAAGTAGTTGGGAGAGTTTCATCTAAATGAAAATCGTGTTCTTCCACCCATTATTCTGAATTGTTATTGGCTGAGAACGTGGGAAATGGATATCTTTCATCTGACAATGACCACATGGATAATGAAACATGCTGTTTGGTGGGAACTGATGGTAAATTGTTTCTCTGTCCACTTTTATTTTACAGCTTCTCTATTGAAAGGATTAAAGCACGCAAACATTGTGCTGCTCCATGACATCATCCACACCAAGGAGACACTGACGCTTGTCTTTGAATATGTGGTAAGTGAAATAAATAAGATTTTAGGCTAGCTAAATAGAAATAAAATACAGTGATAGGAGTTGATTTCTAAATTGCTGTACCGAAATGAGTGATTTTTCTGAATATGTGCAGTATTGCTTTGCATAAAATAATGGCCCTGTGAGAGTTTTTTTTAATATGTTCTCTTAAAGAACACCCAGAAAAATGTTAAGCTCCATTTTGTTAGGTATATGATTTATTTATAGCCTACTTGTTACCAGTGTGCTTAAGTTGTGATTTTTAGGCATATCGAAAAGGATGGTGACTATCAAAGGAATTCAGAGGCAACACAATATATTTTCCTTGGGATTTCCAAGTTTTCCTCCCCAGTTATTTTGGCCATGAACTAAAGCTTCCAATTTGTATCACATACCATGTAACAATCTTCTGTGTTGAGGGTGTCACTGCTGGAAGACCTGAACTTCAACTGGTGATTAATCTTTCTTCATTTTCCTCAACTAAAACATATGGTGTTTGTGTAGCACCGTCTCAGCATTTAACTGTGGAATCATGAAATGTAACCATGATAATTAGCATCCCAGTTTTCACAGATGGATCTGAGAACATGTAATTTATAATATACAAATGACACCGGTGCCGACTTTTTAGTGTGAAGAATAGCTACCGGGATTTTGAAGATTAAGTAAGGTCTCATTTTTATAATTACCACACTAGTTTTTTTTATTGAAATAATTCCCATTTTTCCTTAAAAGTGTAAAAGAATGAATATTTGAATCATTTTTGTCTTCTTAATGTCTGCCTGTGTCTGTTTATCATTTGAAAATTGTTGTCACATGAAGAAGCCATTCATCTTGTCTATTTACATATAAATGATAGATACATTTGAATAATATGGTAATGTGGCTACAAGGACAGCTACTACTAGCGAGTTGCATATATTACATGCTACGAAGAATGGAAGCAGATTCACACATCAATGCAAATATAATTTCTTTTGTTTCCTCCATCATTTGGAGTCAATAACGTATTGAGCTGACTTAGGCTTGGAATTTTCCATTCATGTTTTCTAGTATGTCTGATTTACATATTTCAATAAAACCTAGATTTTTCTATTTTTATTCACTATTTCCCATAATGCTTTACAGAAAGAGTATTTAATGATGTACTTATTCTCTCCCTCAAATTGAGCAACTAAACTAAAAGAAAAAAGCAATGTTTGGGGCACCTAAATTAACACACTTCATGTTTATTTCCCTGTACAGTTCACTGGTGTGTAGTTAAACACACACATATGTATATGTTAATTAAATTAATATATACATATATGCATAGATGTACACATAAACATGTGGCTTTTTGGTATGTTCTGAAATCAATATCAAACATTGCAATCGAAACATTCCCAAGCTTTATAATATTACCATTAAAATATAAATATTTTATACCATTAAAATACCATATAAAATCATTTATAATGATTTTAAAGTTGATGATATAAACTTATTTTCTAATCAGCATTAATTCTGTTGCTCCATGTCACTAATAGTATTTCTTGCTGGTCCTGGCGGCACATATCAGTATTCCCAATTTCTCAGGAGACTGAGGCAGGAGAGTCATAAATACCTGGCCTGCCTGTACTAGAGAGCAAATTAAAGGCCAGCCTGGTCAACTTAGCAAGACCCTGTGTCCAAGGGAGTGATATGGAGAAATGCAGCTCTGGGGCAGAGGACTGTGTCCATTACTGCTCTGTTGCTATGATAGTGTACGATAACCAAAGCAATGTATGGAAGGGTTTATTTTGACTTAGGATTCCCGAAAGGGTGAGTCCATCCCGGGGTGAAGCAAGACAATTTGACAGTTTTTGAGACACTAGTGTGTCTTTGCTTTAATAGTAGAATTCCATTTTTAGTTGGGGAGGCATGGCAGCAAGCAGCAAGCACAGCGGCAGGAGCAGGAAGCTGAGGGCTCAGACCATGAACTACAAGCCCAAAGGTGAAGCAAATTGGAGTTGTGGTGAGACCATGAACTCCCACAGCCTGTCATTAGTGATGGACTTCCTCCAGTCAGGCCCCAGTGCTCCATAACCTCTCCAATCAGCGCCACCAGCCGGGGTCCACATGTTCCAATCTGTGAGCCTGTGGGGGGCATTTGTCATTCAGACTACCACAAGTTCATGCTTCCTCAGTAAAAGACCTTGGACTCAATCTCCACTGCCACCTAAACAAACATACAAAAACCAGAAGAAAACAAAACTTTTTTGAAAGGACGTAAGTTATGCAATGTAGGAAAAATCAATATGCCATACTCTTAAAATCCTAAATGTAAAGATAAAGAAAGACAGTTTGACAATTTTTTGGACACTATTCTATCTTATAATGTTATAACATAAATGTTAAAATTGTTTTCAGTGGCTTTCTGAGGTATGCCTATGAGCCTCACTATGCACATATAATGTATTCTGCCCTTGTCTTTGACAGAGAACTCTAATCCTTGCTCTTTTGTTTTATTCCCACAAATGACATTTTAGGTTTCTGAAAGCCTTCTGAGGGCCAGAATAATGAAATAAGTGACTAATTGTTAGTGATATGGAAAAATACTCAAGGAAATGGCTTTGGAGATAATTAGCCCAGGAATTCAGGATAATAGAACTCGGTTGATCCTCTCAAGTACCATGAAAAGTTTCTAAATCATTCTGAAACTGAGTTTCCTACTTACTGTCAAGGTGTGCATATGGAATGATCTGGAAACTTCAAGGCTAGGGCTTGTTGGCCACGGGCTTCCCAGGTGGCTTCTATCTCAGCAGCAGGTCACATGGGCCTCTGAGATGTGTGCTTCTGGAACTGCCTTCATCCAGGAGATGAGAGATGTACAGGGGAAGGATAAGCAGGCTTGGAAAGGAAGCTGCTTCTTAATGGTCTACGATACCGGTGTAGCTCTCCATATTTCAGGTGTGGGTTTAAACTTGAAAGAGGGAGACAATAGCGTTTAGAATCATTGGCTCCAGAATACTTGTAGCTTTGATAATGCTAACAAAATTGTTCTTCTACTTTAACAGAAAGCTTAAGCAATTTAGTTTTTTATGCTCCTTTGTTGTTGTCAAAGACAAATGGGTGCCACATTGTGTTTAACAGTATGATGAAAAATGTGAGACATATTCCATAAGTGGAAATAAGAATATTAATAGTAAACACAATTATATAAATGTATGTTGCCATTAATTTCATAACTATTGTGTTTTGCCTTAAATTGCAAAAGAGCAAGCCATCTGGAGCATCATTTTTCATTGCATATTTAATAATCGTCTACAAAAAGAAGCAAAAGCCAGGCATGGTGGAAAATGCCTTTAAACCCAGCGCTTGGGAAGCAGAGGCAGGCAGAGCTCTCTATCAGCTCAAAGTCACTTGGTCTACATAGAGAGTTCCAGGCCAGCTAAGGCCACTTAGTAAGATCCTGTTAAAAATAAAGAAATAAATCATAAAATTGAATGAGGTTACCAGACATAGACAAAGTTTCGATTTTACAAGATATATAGGTTATAGAGGTTAATGTACAACATGGTGCCTAAAGTTAGCAATATGATATTGTTGGCTTATAGGATTTGGTAGGAGACCAGATATTACCTCAACTATTCTTGCCACCAAAACATGAATGAGCAAATGATGCAAGGATGTAGGAGATGGCCATGTCTATTACCTTCATTGCCTTTTTGTGGTGATGGTAACATGGATATGTACGGGTGTCCTGAGTCCTCAAAATGTGTGTGTGTGGTGGTATAAATAAAGTTGCCTGGGGTCAGAGCTATTAGAGCCATAGCAAGTGCGTGGCAGTGGTGGCGTACGCCTTTAAGGACCTGGAGGGTGGTACATACAGGCAGTGACGAGGCAGTCACATGATTGGGTTTACAACCAATGAGAAGCCAGAACAAGGAGACTATAGAGACAGACACACAGGAAGTAGGGCTCTCTTTCGGAGAGCTCTCTGGGCTGAGGAGGATCCCTGAATCAGGAAGGGTGAGGCTCTTGACTCTGACCTCTTGGCTTTCTTCTCTGAATCGGCTCTGTGTTTCTTGTTTGATAAAACCGTTGGCTACATCTACACTGAATTACATCTACGTGTGTGTGTGTGTGTGTGTGTGTGTGTGTGTGTAAATGTTAGTATATGAGTTAGTGCTCAGAAAGCTGCCAGTGAAAGGAGAAAAGCCTAGAAATTCATAATGAATCACAATAAATTAGATGTGGTCATTTTATTTCTCCTACTATGATGTAAACCACTGAAATAATCCAAACTATTATGGAACATATTTTAAAACTTAAAAATATAAGATTTCTCCTCATGAGAAAAAGACGATGTAACCAAAAATCATGTAAGATGATTGAAAGATGACCAAAAATACCATGATGTGTTTTCATAACTCTATTAATTTTATGAAACACTCTCATAAGTGTTGTCCACTTAAATTGTGAGATTTTGATGGTTGTTACTTTAACATCCTAAGTCTTGGCATAGTTTTTCATGCATTAGTCATTAACTAGGACTCGGGTATAAATTAATGTAGACTGCAGAATAGAGATCCATGAATGAAAACTAGGACATAGCCCACTTCAATGGTCACAGTGCTGAGGACACACCCTTGTATGAAATTCATCCTGATTCTAAGTGAGCCAAGTTAAGGCAGTGACTACCTCTCTAGTGCACACCAGACTACCTGACACATCAGAAATCTAATTAAATGTTTTTGTGTACACACACACACACACACACACACACACACACACACACACACACAGAGAGAGAGAGAGAGAGAGACAGAGAGAGATACAGAGAGACAAAGAGAGACAGAGAGAGAGGAGGGAAAATTTTTATCACTAACTCATAAATCATCATTTAACTCATATTTTGTTTTTCTGCCTAGTTGATCTACATTCCAGCTGTATTCCCTATGTTTAAACATTTTTTTTCTACCAAAGCAAATGTTCTTCTAAGTAGAAAATAGAGAATGAGTGTGATGCTTGAGCAGTTA